CTGGTCATGAAGTCGTCGCTGCTTGATAACGCCTTCTGGCGTAACGGTTGTTTCACAGAGGGCCCACTCTAAGCTTCCACTGTCCGAGCTCATACCAAACTCCTGCATAAAACGACGCTAGTAAGTGAAGGAAGGGATCGAATGGAGCTCAAGATGTTTTAAAAAAAATGAACCTGAAGTGCAAGTTGAACGACATTTTGAGCAGTTGTCTCCTTGTATATGGTGAGGTACTTGAAAGACTGGTCCGCGCGATACACTTTTAACACGTGCTCTGGACATGGGCTACTTGCTGGCTGATAGTACTGCGCAATATTCATGGCTGGGATGCGCGATGGACCAAGAGAATGCCCAGCGATATCCGGATTTGAGCGGCTTGCACGCAGTGAATTCGATCGTGTCGGGTTTAACTAGGAAAATAAACTTCGTCACTCAGATCAATGTGCCAGTGTATATAAGCCGGTGAAATGACAGGCATAAAAATGTACTGTTTTTGATTCAGCCGCTACAGCAGCAGCGTCCGGAAACGAGCTCGGCAGATTCTTCAGCATTGTGAGCAATTTATCCATCATCGAAGTTTTATTTCCGGCACCACTCGGAGGTAAATAGGGGAAATTGGAGGTAGCATTCTGTCGCGAATTCATGTTTATCATACATGGAACAGAGCCCCTCTGCGCTCCCTCATTCCCTTGCTGCAACTAAAAACTTAAAAAGTTCAAAAATCAAACATTCCTGCTGTTTCGTACATGTTGATATACTCCACGTATCCCTCCCTCCCCTCCCCTTGTCCCCACTTCCCAAAGATATCTCTGCAAAGCGCCCAGTCCCTTCTAACTTGGAGATGAGAGTGGTTCTAGCTTTACATTCGTTTTGCAGCCTGAATTTTTGCAATAACATAGTATCAAAACCAGAAAGACGCTTAAACGGCATGGGATGAATGAGGCCATAACTCCCCACTTGTGTACTGAGACTCATGGATCCACGGGCGGTAAGTCCTTAAATCACTTAGAAATCGTTCCGACAGTTATGGATATCAGATGATTTCATTATTTCACCTTAACTTTGTTAAATTTGCAAATTTGTACCACCGATTTTTTTGATCAAAAAAAAA